ACTTTTGGCCTCAGCATAAAAATTTTCTCTCCAAATATTAGCACCAGTCATCCTTGTGCACGTGAATGCCCCAGACAACCTCTGAATGCCCTTCTCTAACTTTACAGATGATCCATTCCTTTTGTTAAAAAGGTAGCCTTTATTAAAGAGGCGCCCATTGTTAGCTAAAAGGTAGGATCCTAGCATTTTGGTTTTTGTTTCTACTGCATTTGTCAGTGCCTAAACCAACCAGTTCACTTTCCCTGGTCCTGGCCATGGATGGTGGGAAAGTCATGAGACAGGATGCCTGGTCTTGTTAATTGGATCAATCCCCAGTCAGATGCAAATAAAAGGGGAGTCTGACAAGTTACATGTATTGGGACTGCCCTTTCCAGTCTGCTGGTGTACCCAAGTGATTCCACTGGCTACCTATTGAAACATTGAAAGGAAACACTGGAAGCTTTATTCTGAGGCCTGGCTCAGAGACCAAGAGGAGTGGCTTCACAGGGTTTCTAAATTATAATACCATACTCCAATTAGACCTTTTCTGTAAAAGAAAAAGTAGATTGAGCCTATATATAACTTTTCTTCATCTCAAGACCACCCGAATGGCTCCACAATTGCTATTTAGATACTTAAACACTGGCCATTCTTTATAAGCCACAGGATAAACATGGGAAGGAGGACCAGAAAAGCCCCTTATCAATGACAAGGCTCAGATTCTTTTTAATCTCCCTTAGCTCTGATAACTGGAAGGGGACATAGACTTTCCCTCTTCTTACCATTGCCTGTTGAAGGGGGAAGCATGCATTAGAAGATTCTTAATATTGGGCGACTTAGAAGGTAGGGCAGAGGGTGGAGCAGTAGCGGTGAGGGCCTTTATCTCTGTGATCCAAACCTTTGAATTGACATGGAAGGATTTTATGCTTCTACTAGACCAGACTCTTTCCTCATTAGAAAAGCAATGGATCCTGGCCCAGGCCACAAGGTTGGAAATGATTACCATTACATGAGCCAATACTCGTGGTACCTGAAATGAGGGTATACATGTGCCTATACCAACAGGGGCACAGACAGTCCCCTTGGCAGATCCACATTGGAGTCAAAATGGTGGGAGGATGAATGGCATCAATGCCACTTTTCCATTTTATAGTGGAAGGGCTAAAAAAGGGCCAAAGACAAACCTCTACACTATTCCCAGGTAACTGTAGTACAGCAAGGCCCTGAAGAAAACCCCCTCACCTTTCTACAGCATCTTAAGGATGCTATCAGAAAGCATACCACAGTGGACCCAGTCACAGGCGGGAGAGGTTCTCCTCAAAGATAAATTTCTAACACAGTCAGCCCCAGATAGCTGTAGAAAACTCCAAAAGTCTGTGGCTGAAGGGGAAAAAAATCACTGGACCAACTAATACAGCTAGCCATGACTATATATTATAACCGAGACGTTACTAAAAGTAGAGAAAAAGATAAGAGACATGATGACCTCATTGCTGCTCTCAGAGCGGGTCCCACACAACTGGGGCCTGCTGCCCAAACTTGCTACCATTGTGGACGGGAGAGGCACTTCTGCAGAGAATGCCCAAAAGGGGGACAGCCCAGGAGACAGCCCTGCCCCCAACCGGGACCCTGCCCTCTCTACAAAGGTAACCATTAGAGGTCTAAGTGCCCCCGTCTCCAGATGGATTGATGTGTCCTGGGTCTCCTGTCCAGACTCTACTTCTTAGCATCAATGTTGAGCCTTGGGTATCCATGATGCTAGAGAAGTGAGTCAGTGGAGCTCATTTCTCTGTTTTACCTTTCTCTCCGGGTCCCCGGTCCAATGACAAAAGTTATTGTTTGGGGCAAATCTGGCCAGCCCCTAGAGTGCTATTTTACCAGGCCTCTGACCTGCTCTTGGGGAGACCTCCACTTCTGTCACCTTTTCCTCATAGTTCCTGAAACTCCAGTACCCCTTCTGGGACAGGATTTACTATCTCAACTAAAAGCTCAAATTCTCCTCCCCATAGGCAGCTATCTCTGCTGCTCCCTCCTTCAGGAACAAATAGATCCCACAGTATGGACTGATGGGATGACTGTAGGGTGAGCCAGGATGGCCCTCCCTATTCAAATAAAGCTCAAAGATCCTTCACAGTTTCCACACCCAAAAACAATATCCCCCTCAAGCCTGCAGGACAACAAGGCCTTATACCTACCACAAATTCCTTTAAAAAAAAGGGGGGGGGGCTACTAATTAATTGTCCCAGCCCCTATAATACTCCTATTCTTGCTATCCTCAAGGGGCCAAACAAATGGAGATTAGTTCAAGACCTCTGGCTCATTAATAAAACAGTCATTCCCCTCCACCCAATTGCTCCCAATCCCTACACTCTATTGGCTCAAACACCCTCAAGAGCCCAATATTACTCTGTACTAGATTTAAAGGATGCTTTCTTTTGCATTCCTAAATCTAAAGTTTTCAATATCCAAGAGTACACTCAAAATTAATATAATTGTTTTGTGTTTCATTGTGTAGGTTTTGTGTATGTCTATGATATGATTGATTTATTAGAGACAAAAATCTAATAGCTATGATAAGTCTTATTAAAAACTGAGACTGACTCAAAACGCTATTCTTAAAATTGACTCTTACTTCAGCTATCAATCCACTCAAAATGAGTCCAAAAAGAGCAGAATGGGACACTTCTCAATCTGCTTCTAAAAATAAAAATAAAAAAATTTTTTTTTTATTTTTTAACTGTGGCCACTTAGTTAATTCTTACATGTTCTTGAGCCCTTGAACCTATGCGCACTTAAATTAACATTTATGGCATGCCTAATATAAAACTTTTTTACATACACATATATTTAAACATCTTTAGGATAATTCTTACTACAGATTTAATGTAAAGAAATACAAGGCTTCTGTTCTCCTCTCTCCCCCACCTCTTCTGCTTCTACTTTTAAGAAAAACCAGTTTTTTAAGGGTTATGTCAGTGAAGTCTAACTAAATTAAAGGCATTATTTTATGGACAGTAACCTTACTGTGTTTCATTTCATCATAAGAAATTTACATTCAATTCCTCTATAATTAGATCTATTAACAAACGGTGTCTTTATAGGTTACCTATTGTATAAAAACAGTTTAAAATTGCTTTTCTATATGGGTCTATATAATAAAAATAAGGCTAATTGGAAAAACAATTTTGTTTAAATTTAAATTAAAAATTCTTAGAGAAGTTATTTCAAAATACAAGTTAAAAAGTGAATGAGTAGAAAGGATATAGATAGGTGTTGAGTGTATTTTTTGGGGGAAAGGCTAAAGGAAATAAGAAATGTTTTTAAATGAGAAAGGATTTTGTAAAGAAGGGTTTATCCTAAAGATTGATCCAACTATGGAGAGGAGGAATAAGGACAAACCATCAGAGGGTTCAGTACGTTATATAAAGGTTCTGAGTTAGACTTAAAAGTGTATAATAAAAGCTTCGGTGTATGATAAAGTTAAAAAGTTGACTAAAAGATTTTTTTAGGGTCATGTCAAACTAAAATCAAATTCTCTATGTCCATAAAATAACATAAAATAAGTTGGTCTTCAATGACCACTTTATAACTGTGTTCTGTGTCTATACTTATCTAAATATGGCACAAACATTCACAAAGTTAAAAGTGTCAATTTATATAAAATGAGTTAAAGCTCTCTTTTATCCAAAAGTGTTACATTTAACCTGCATCCTGACAGTCAGCCCCTGTTTGCCTTTGAAGATCCCACAAACCCTTCACAGCAACTAACTTGGACAGTTTTACCACAAGGGTTTAGAGACAGCCCTCATCTTTTTGGACAGGACCTAACCAGAAGCTTATAAGATTGGCACTACCCAGAGGCCACCCTTCTTCAATATGTTGATGACTTAACTTCTGTGTGGAGCCACTGAGCCCCTCATCTCTAGGGCAACTGAGTCCTTTTTAAAACCTTCTGGTCTCCCAAGGATACAAAGTCTCTAAGGAGAAGGCCCAATTATGCCTCCCAAAGGTCACCCACATAGATGTAGTCTTAAAGGGACAGACTCACTCCCTGAGTCATGAGCGTATCGATTCAATCCTGTTTTCCACTCCCCTAGACCATAAAGCAACTTAGAGCTTTCTTGGGAGTTACAGGATTCTGCAGAATCTGGATCCCTAGATATGCAGCCCTTGCCAGACCGCTTTTTATGCTCCTTCTAATACTCCGACGTGGGCCTTGTATAATAAATGCTCTCTCCAGATTCATATCTCAACAGGTCCAATGGATCAAACTCCAGCTCTTGATCAAAAAATACTCACCTCAGCCTACACATGAAGCCTCCATCCCATTCTTTTGGGGCCCCCAGAGACTACACGG